TAATTCAATCTTTCTTTTTTCAAGCTGTACGAGTTCATCATGGCGATCATTATGAGATGTTTTAGATTGTTTTTTGGTTTTATGTGTTAGCTCGCTCCTGGTGGTGGGAGTAAACATCTCGAGATATCTCGAGTGATCTCAATAATCGAGTACCACTCGATTTTTCACTCGAAATCTCCCATCACTACTGCAGGGTTAGTCCTGTTCCAGCATTCCGACCGACCAGACGTGCCCAGGAAGAGAAGTGAGTCAGGGTTTAGGGAACATAGGTAAACACTTGGCTGCTGTCCGCTTGTACTAATCATATCTTGCCTTTTCAGTTATCCGCCGTACCACGACAAGGAAAGGTGCACTGTTGTCTCTGTCCGGTGCACTGGACCTAAACTGCGAGTTCGGCTTATAGGATGTTGTCTCCCCCTTTTTCTGTCCTATGAGTTGAAACGCAGGTCGTACCGAACCGCCGACATACGACAAGGAAGGGTGCATTGTTGTCACTGTCCGATGCATTCGACCTAACTGCGCGCTCTGCTGATAGAATGTCGTGTCCCATTTCCTTTCTGTTCTATGAGTGGAGACGCAGGTCGTAGTTAATCTTGTTTCTCTTTCAGGTACGACGTGGTTGGGTGTACTGTTGTCTCTTTCCGGTACACTTAACCTAACTGCGCGTTCGGCTGATAGGATGTTGTCATCCTTTCCTCCCTTTCTGTCCTATGAGTTGAAACGCAGGTCGTAACTAATCCATCTTTCTTTCAGAGATTTTCTGCCAGCCGCCTGCCAGGATTGAGGAGCCCCGCTGTTACTGTTTTATTGCTTTTGTGTAAAGATAGTAGCCAAGTCTAGTCTATAGTTATTGTTTGTAGCTTTGCTTTGCTTTGCTAGATCGCTTACCGCTTTAACCGTTTGCCTGTTTTACCGTTCCGCTAGCTCTGCTGTGCTTTGCTTTCGTCAGGTCACCGCTTAACACCGCACCGCCGTTACCGTTTTCCGTAGTCACCCTGTATATAACC